GCCCTGCTCCAAAAGCCCAGAACCCCTGGAGAATGTGTGAGAGCAGGTGTTTTGATTGTGGGAGTAAATAACCTCTTCAACAACCAGATTTGTTGGTTCTAGGGCTAAAACTCCTCTAAAATGCCTTTCTAAATTGTTTGTCTTACTAGTTTTGAGAACAGTTCACAGAATTTGAAATCCTCAACAAATCTGCTTTTCTTTCCCCCCATTTGAGCCTGTTAACTCCTGACCTTGCCCACTCCACAGCAGTGTCTTTCATGCCTTCAGCTTACTCATCTCCACAAGCAGTAATTTAGCTCCAGCATGTCTCCCCCAAGACCAATTAATCTTAGCCAACTCTAAGAAATAAAATTATTTTGATCACTAAAGGATTTATTCCGTTTCACAAGGGTTGTGGTGTGGGGTTTTTTTGGGTTTGTTTCTTTGTTTGTTTGGGGGTTGTTGGGTTGGTTTGTTTTGGTGTGTTTTTGTTTTTGTGTATTTTTGTGTGTTGTGTTTTGTTTGGGGTTTTTTTTTGTTGTTGCTTATTTTTCCAGCCCTCCAAACGGAGCAGGTATTGAGTGAACTCTCCAAGTTGTGTGGGAGCACCCCTGGACTGCTGAGAGTGGGCACTGAGCTGAACCTGCTGCCAACACGATGCCCCTCTCTAAGGGGCTGGGAAAGATGCCCAATCTCCTGGCTCAGACCTGTGATTTAGCTGTTTGACCGGGATTCTTTGTCGACACCAAAAAATATGTTATTCTGAGCAGGGATGAGTTAAGGGATGTGTTACAGTCTCAGTGGGGTCAGTGCTCCAGCTGCTCACACACAGAGCTGGTTTAAAAATGCTCTGATAATGTGAATTTCTCTTCCCGGGTACTCACGGCAAAGAGTTTATTTTCCGTCTCAGCATATTCATCTGTCTCCATTGGAATAATTTCTATTTCATTTGAGGTTCCAGCAGCTCCTCCATGAGAGGCAGAGGAGCTCACCCGTTTTCCTCAGCGCAGAGTGGGCAGGACAAGGGGAGATGTGGCTGATGGGCTGCTCGGGATGATCCTGGCTCCAAATGTTTTGGGGTTTTGGGGTTTTTTTTTTTTTTTTGTTTTGTTTTTTTTTGTTTTGTTTTTTTTTGGTTTTTTTTGTGCATGAAACGCTGGAGCGGCAGCGTTTAAAGTGACTGCAGGAGACAGGGAGAGATCTTCGAGTGATGTATTCTGTGTCACCTTGCTGAACCTTGATTGATGAACTTTCACAAATGTGCTTGATCTGCTGGGAGAAATCTCTGCTTCCCTTCTCTGCGTCAAAACGCGGCGTTAATTTCGTGTTTTGGGCAATAACAAACCACCCAGGAATGAAAAATCGGACTCCAGCCTGAAAGCCCATCCCTTTCTCGCTCTGGAGTGGCATTTTAAAGGTGTTGATTCTTCTTAATAATCCCCGTTAACAAGAAATCACTTACTGCTGATACTGATCTAAACTGATGTCAGTGAGATGAATTAGGGGCCGGGGAGAGAGGGTTGTTGATCTGTTGTTTTCCTGCCGAGCTTCCCAGGAACACTGAAACACTTAATTCCTGCCAGGACCCTATCTTGTTTTCGGACTCCAGAGAATAACTTCCGACGTGAAACCTCCTTGAACTTAAGGAATAAAATTCTGGCACTCTAGGAACCGCACGGGTGTTTTTTTGGGAAAAAAAACCCCAACAATTATTTCAGTTCCTACAAAACTGCCACAGGCAAGGGATTTGGTATCAGTCCCTTACAGCTGACAACTTGTTCCTGTACAAATTCTGTGGATTCCAAAGGGTTTGGATAAACTTGCCATGTGCAGTTTGTCTCGCGGAGACTGAGCTGCTCTCATCCTGTCACCTTCAGGTAGAGCTGGGACACTGAATTCACAAAAAAACCCCCAAAACTGGGTTTGAACGTGAATGCCAGTGCCAGGCTGCGTAATCCCAAAAAACCAAACAACAACAACAAAACCCCAAACAGACAAACAAAAAACAAAACAAACAAAAAAAACCCCCAAAACAAACAAACAAACAAACAAAAACAAAAAAAAAAACCAAAAACAAACAAAAAAAAAACCAACAAAAAAAACCCAAGGGAAGAGCGAGATCAAATCCAAGTGCAAATCTTATTAATCTTATTACAAGCTCTTTCCCTACTCCCCTTAGCCTGTCCCCGGGCACTGGAGGATCTCTAATTTCAGATTCCCTGGATCCTGCACTTCCCTGTGGATCAGCCTTTCCTAGGCACAGGTTTTAGTGCTGCTCTAGAGATGGGAAGCATTCCAGGCTCAGGCAGGAGCAGGCCAGGTTTGCTTGGTGCAGTTTTCCTGAGCCTTTCGGAGGTCTGGGATCGGAGAGGCACGGCCCCACTGCTCCTGCAAGTCCTGGGGGGACCTTTTGCCCCTGCCTGACCCTGTGGGCTGGGCTGGTGTGGAGCTGCAGCTGGAAATGAGGCTGAGCTGGAGGGCAGGAATAGCAGGAATGGGGTCTGGGAGCACAGGGAGCCCCCTTGGTCGGTGCTGGGGGTTCTGGTGCCTTGGGAAGGCTGGCCTAGAACAGCGACTAGATGGAGCTAAGGAATGAAGTGGGGAGTGATTAAGAGGCTTTAATGGATCCACCTTGGGCAGCACAACCCAAAATGGTCCCAAAATGGATAACCTGTCACGGGGTCTCTCCCTGGGATCAGCTCTGCTCCATGTGCACATTGCAGTTCAGTGTCCAATTCCAGCTCAGCCCCTGCACTCCCATCCTGCTTGTTTTTCTCTCTCCAGCCCACGGGGTTTGTGCTCTTGGGCTGAGATTTGGATCATTTGTCCTTGGTGTCCAGCTGGAGCAGGAATTTTGTGTCCCTGCTCTGTGCACAGAGCTCACCATCCCCTAAAATGAAGCTCAAACCCACACACCAAAGCAGCACAGAATCTGAAAAATAGAAAAGCTAGACCTGAGGCATCAGGTCATTCCTCCTGTATCTCCTTGCACTTCCCATTCATCCAGCTAATGGAAGGTCTTTAACCGAGGCTGCTGTGCCCCAGCCAGCTGTGCTGGTGTCCCCTCCTAAATCACTTTCTGAGCCGGCTCCAAGGCTCCGGCTGCTGCTCCAAACCCGTCTCACCCTGCCCTGCATCTGCTCGGGATGCAATTCCCGCAGGAGCAGGGAGCCTGGGGAGGAGGGGAGTGTGTGAGCTGTGGGGCATTCATCCCTGCTGAGACTGAGCATGGTGCAGCCCTGGAAATCAGACCCAAAGCTGGTGCCCAGAGCAGCCACAGCAGGGACAATCCCACTGGACAGTGTGATTTCTTGACAGCTGTAGCTCTGGGTTATTATGGGAGGAAAACAAGCATGTTTGGAGAAAATAACAGTGTCTGAGGAAAGGAAGGGATGTGGGCAGTGTGTGAGAAGGGTTCTGTGTTGATGTGGGGAGTTACTTTTTCCTGTGGCTTTTTCTGAAGTTTCAGTGCTGTCTGTCTTGTTTGGCCACCCAAATAAGGGCCCTGCTTAGGGCTGGTTTCTGAAAGTTTAAGTTTTAGCTAACTCTCAATGCCTGCTCCCTGTTAACTCAGGGCTTGTCCTTCTTTTGAGGGCTCCCTGTGTGCTCTGACCCTGGCCAGGCTCTGCAGGGGTGACAGCAGGAGTGGCACGGTGGCACCACTGTGACCATTTGACAGCTCAGGCAAGCAGTGGCCCCAAGCTGTGACTGCCCCCACCATTCATCAGTTTAAACCCAGCTTTCCCCTGCCCCACTCCAGTCTCTTTTCCCTGAGTTCTTGGGACACCTTGGCTCTTTTCAGGCAGGGCATTTCCCAGTTGCTCTGCTGGATCCACCTGGATCCTGTGTCCTCCTAAGGCAAAGCCCTCGTGGAGCCCTGGAGATGGTTCCAAACGAGGGGCAGTGGCCTTTGCTTCCTTCTGGCCTGCCCGGGTGCCCTGTCCCCCTGCTTCAGGCTGGCAGACTCGGGTCCCCTTTGTCACAGACCCCACGTCCCGGTGGCTCTGTGGGGTGAGTCCCCCGAGGCAGATTCCCCTCGGGATGAGGCTGAAGGTCCCTGTTTGCCCAGCCCTGAGCCCCAGACAGGTGTCTGCCCTGCCCTCTGCATTAGGGGTCGGTGGGCAGCGCCCAGGGCTCCCCTGGCAGGGGCTGGAGGGAGCTGGGAGCTCCTTATCTGTGCAATCCTGCCTCGGGGGCTGTGTGGGGCTGGGAGCGAGGGAGAGAGGCTGCAGGCAGCTTCCATTCCCCGGCAGCCTTTCATCCTCTGTCCCAGGGCCACAGCCACCCTGTCTCCATCCCTGTTTACTGATGGGGCCGATAGGGCCGGGGCAGGAGGGGGTGCAGGTCCCCCTAATCGCCCTGTCACCGGCCGGACAGCCTCAGACACTCTCAGAGGATGTTGTGACTGCGCTGAATTACAATGTTTGTTGTTTCTCACTCCCAATAATTGACATTTGATAGCGACTACCGTAAAAGCGGCCGAGGGGCTGGGGCTGCGGCAGAGGAGAGGTAGGAGCCGGGTGCTGGGGAGCCCCGCTCGCTTTCCCTGGGCATTTGGGGACAGCCGGGGGGGTCATTCGAGCCTCTCCCCATGGGGACTGGATCTGCAGGGGCTGTGAAAACCTCCCGTGGCAGTTTGGGGGCTTTGGGTTATGACTTGGGCTGTCGGTACTTCTTCTTGCAGCGATTTCTGTGCAGGGAATAATAAATCAGCCCCGCGCTCCCGTAGACTGGGAACGATGGGGTCGGTCCCGATCCCATCCCGGAGACAGGGGCCGGTGCTTAGCCGGGCTGGGAGCTCGAAAAAAGACTTTAAAATAATTTTTAAAACTCCTTAAAATACAAACACCGTTTGCAGGCGGCCAAACGGGAATGCCGAGCGCACGGGAGGGCCGCACGAACCCGGGGGGACGGGCAGGGAAAGGCTCCCGGAGCGGGCAGGCGGCCCGGGGGAGCCCCGGGATGGGAGACCCCGACCCCCCCGGGATGCGCAAGAACGCCAGGGAGTCCAGGTTCAGCCACTCTCTTTAATGACAACTCGCTGATCTCCGTCAGCTTGTACAGCAAAGGGCAACACGTTCCAAGGGGCGGACAGTGCATTTCCATGCTAACTCACGTTTTAGTGCAGAACCCTACGGGACCTGGCGGGCCGGAGTGTCCGTGTCCCTCGGGAGTCTGTCTGTCCTCATCCCTGCCCAGCCTCGCAAGGGACGCCTGGGGGTGCCGAGATGCCGAACTGACCGAACAGCGGGGACCGTACGGGAAGTGCAAAAATTAAATGTGGATGTCAATAATAATTAGTATAGAGTAAAAGTTAAAAAAAAAAAAAAAAAAGGAGAGAGTTGCAGGGCTTGGCTGGGTGTTGTTGGGAACAAGTCACACGAATTACCGGCTGGTTTGTAGGAAGGAAGGAGGGGAATTATCGGGGCGAAGAGCCGGGTGGAAGGCAGCGAGAGGGGCCGGGAAATGCGGGCATCCCCCGCCGGTGCTTGCCTGGCCCCGCACGAAACACCGCAAACACCCAAACCCAGCCCGTCCATGGGCACCACACCGCTGAGATCCGCCGGGATGCCCCGCTGAGCCAGCCCCGCAGGCTGGCAGTGTCCCGATGCCGCCGGCAGTGTCCCGATGCCCCCGGCAGTGTCCCGATGCCCCCGGCACGGGCGGCTCTACCAGGCTCGGATGCCGTGCAGGGTGGAGATGCCCGCGTTGCCCTGCGGGATGGGAGTTTGCACGGAGTTCAAGTCCCCCACGCTGAAGTTCATGAAGTTGTTGGCGGGTGCCGAGGGCTGCACGGGCTGCATGGAGGGGTAGCTGCAGTTGTAGTTGGCGTTGCAGGCGGGGCTGTTGTAGTTGCTGTACGCGGGGTAGGCGTTGTAGCTGTAGGGGTTAATGCTGACATTGTAGGGCGAGCTGTAGGGGGAAGATTCCCCCAGGCAGGGCTTCCCATCGCGCACCAGCACCGGCACGGCGATCCGCCGCGGGGGAGGGATCCCCACCATTTCCAGCGTCTGGTCCTGTCTCTGCCTTTTGCATTTGTACCTTCGATTCTGGAACCAAATTTTCACCTGGGTGGAGGTGAGCTTTAGGACGTTGGCTAGATGGTCCCTCTCCGGGGCCGAGAGGTATTTCTGCTGCTTGAACCTTCTCTCCAGTTCGTACACTTGGGCTTGAGAAAAGAGGACGCGAGGTTTCCTCCTTTTCCTCTGTCTGGGGCGTTCGGGATCTTCCAGGTCTCTTTTCTCCTGCTCCAGGCTCTTGTGTAGGGAACACAGCTCTGCAGCAAAATAAAGGGGAGAAGGGAAAACAGCGGAAGGAGAAAATTGTGCAAAAAAATTATAAATCAGTATTTAATAAAGAGGATACAACTTGAGCGAGTCGTGGCTCTTCCTCGGCCTCGCAGGCCGCTGTGGCTGCCCGCTCCTGCCCCGCTCTTTAGGTACCTCTGCAGCAAATTTTTCGTCTTTTTTTGTTTGAAAACCACTCTGCCCCGTGCACTGATGCGCGTCTCGCCCGCCTGTGCCCCAGCCTGGATTTATCACTCGCAGCTTTGTGCCGAAACCCACCCCGGCCTCCAAGCGAGTCAGGAGTCGCATTTGTCACCTGGTTCCTGTCCAAACTCGAGGCCTCGCGTGTCACCCTGCAGCTCTGCCCGTCCCGTTGGGGTCTGCGGGCCGGGGTCAGCGGGACCCTCCCCGCGGTGGGGTCAGCCCCGCTCCCGCAGGGCCGGGCCGGGATAAAGATGCTGCGGAGCTGTCCCCTGTCCCCCGCACTGTCCCCTGTCCCCCGCAGCCCTGGGGACCCCCGGCCGAGCACCCCACCCCGCAGGCGGATCCCCATCGAGCCCCTCGCAGCAGCTCTTGTCTTTACCTTTCTTGTCCGCCTTGGCCTCCTTGGCCGAGTCCATCTCCACGTAGCTTTTCCCGTAGTAGGAGCCGGGGAAGGCGGCCGCGGTTTTTCCGGGGGGCGGCTCGGGCAGCTCCTCCCGCAGCTCGGCCAGGGCCGGGGGCTCGGCGCTGAACGCCTCCTGCTTGAAGCTGGCCAGCATGCAGGACGGGGAGGCCAGCGAGGCCAGCTCCATGGAGCCCAGGCCGCTCTGCTGCTGCTGCTCCAGGTTCAGAATATCCTTCACCGAGAAGGGCGTCGTTGTCACAGGGCTAGGAAACATTGCGGAGGACAGCGGGGCAGCGGCCGCAGCCCAGGGTCATGGAAAAGTAGGTGGGGAGCAGGCAAGGTGGAGCAGCGCTGGAGCGTGGGCTCCCGGAGGGGGCACATAGCATTCCCGAGAGTAGCCCTGCCTTGTGCACTGGGCCAGGTAGGAGCGGACCATAAGGCCAGGGAAGGAGGGACTAGGCAGTTTTTGGGTGACTTTAGCTTTCTATTGGCCAACATTGCGGTGATGGTATGAGAGATGCAAAGTTCCATGTCACCTAATATAGTAATACATCTCAAAAACAGCTCCGCTCTTTTAAAGGGGCGGCACTGCATTTGTCCAGCTTTGCAGAGGAGGGGTTGCTCATCCATTTGAAACAAAACAAAAAAAAAACAAAAAAAAGAAGAATGGCCTAATGCGTACAAAGTCACTATCTGATGCTATCTATCATACAGTCAGATTAAATAAACAGGCCGGGAGGAAACCATCAACCAAATATGTGCTGATTTAATTTTTTTTTTTTTTTAAACGAGAGAACGGAGGTTTCGTTTTTAGTATTCTGCAATATCCGATGGCAGGAACTAAAAAACGGGAGTTCACTGCTGTGTGAAGCGCGCTCAAGGGGAAATCCGCGCTCAGGGTTTATACAGAATTTCTGAAGCAGCACAGTGACTGCAAAGTCCAGCTGACAGACCCTGAGCAGCCGCTGCCTGGCTTTGGAGAGGGAAATGCCGATTGGGCTTTCCTCTCATTTGTTTGTAAAGCTTTCAAACAAAAAATGCAACACTGTCTGGGGGGGAAAAAAAATTAAAAAATCAATCAAAACAAGCGCGGGTGAAGATGTTGCAAAATACAAGGGGTAAGAGAGGAGTAAGCAAAGCAAGGGGCTGCGGGGGCTGTCCCGGCCGGGTCCCGCAGCTCGGGTGGGTGCGTGGTCCCCGGTTAATGCGGCAGAGGTGGGGTTCATTCATTTAACTCGCGTGGAGCCGCTCAAATAAACCTTAGCTGCAAAGTCGCAGGTTGCGGAGGGGCGGTTCAGGGCTTTGTGGGTTAGGGGGGAGAGAAAAAAAAAAATAGAAATAAATAAAGAATCTCCTTTGGCGCTCCAGCGCCCGGCTGAGAGAGGCACGGGATGGGCTCGGTGGGAGCAGAGCAGAGAAACCCTAAAGGGCTGCGGTGAGTTTGGGGGGCTCTCGGCTGAGCCCCGCTCTCGGGAGCGGCGGGGTCACAGCTGTGCAAATCCTTTCTCCTCCCGCAGCAGGGACCCTCCGGGCCGGGTGGAAAGGTGAGCGCCTGCCCACCCCCAGCAGGACGAACCAGCCGCTGCCCCCCGGGATTTTGTGTCTCGGCGCCCCGGGGAGCTGAATTTGAATTTGGGATGTTTTTGCGGGCGGCGCTGCCCGGGGTTAAGGGGGAAGAAAAAAAAAAAATAGAAATAAATAAAGAATCTCCTTTGGCGCTCCAGCGCCCGGCTGAGAGAGGCACGGGATGGGCTCGGTGGGAGCAGAGCAGAGAAACCCTAAAGGGCTGCGGTGAGTTTGGGGGGCTCTCGGCTGAGCCCCGCTCTCGGGAGCGGCGGGGTCACAGCTGTGCAAATCCTTTCTCCTCCCGCAGCAGGGACCCTCCGGGCCGGGTGGAAAGGTGAGCGCCTGCCCACCCCCAGCAGGACGAACCAGCCGCTGCCCCCCGGGATTTTGTGTCTCGGCGCCCCGGGGAGCTGAATTTGAATTTGGGATGTTTTTGCGGGCGGCGCTGCCCGGAGCCGCAGCATCCCCGGCGCTGCAGCCGCTGGGCTGAGCTGGCAGCCCCGGACCTGGCGATGACAGTCGGAGCGATCCCTGCGAACGGGGAGGCCTGAAATATTGTGATTTAATGAGGGGAGGGGACGATCTTCGCGGCTGCGTTTCCTGCAGGCTTCCCTGGGAAATATCTGCAGGGGATGGATGCTCTTCTGCTCAGGAGGAAGGGTGCAGTGCCCGGGAATGTGGGGGCAGCCTCGGGAGAGGGGCCTGTGGAGGGGCTTTGCAGAGTGTTTGCAGCATCCCTGGCCCTCCGCGGCCTTTCTGAACCTCGCTGCCTCCTTTTTATTACAAGCTTATAGGTTAGATACGGGCTAAAACAACGAAGCCGACCCCGATCCTCCCCAAACCCAGAGAAAAATCTCAGGTTCGCCTTGGCGACATCCCCATCCTGCGGGATGGCAGAGGCGCCTTCCAGCGCTCCCTTCCTTTATCCCGGGCCAAAACGCCCTTCCCGGGCCAGGCTTGGATCTCGCACGGCTGTTCCTGCCCCGGAGGTTTCCCTGGGCCCGGGGAACCCGGCGGGTCCGAGCCGGGCCCGGAGAGCATCCCGGCGGGGCGGGAGCTGAATTGAGGATTGCCTGAGGATTGAGGATTGCCTCAAGGATTGGGGATTGCCTGAGGATTGGGAATTGCCTCAAGGATTGGGAATTGCCTCAAGGATTGGGAATTGCCTCAAGGATTGGGGATTGTTCCCTCCAGCCCCCCGGTCACACGGCGGCTGCCGATCGATGTGGGCCCGGCTGCACAGGGTGGAAGTGATTAATTGAACGATAAGCCGGAGCTATCATTTGGAATGTCATTAATGCGTCGGGGAGACATTCATTGGAGACAGACAGCGTTATCTCCGCTTTATCTTCAACAATGCATCACTTTTAATACTGCAGTTTAGAAACAAATGGGGGCTTTAGCCTTAGCCCTTCTCTTCGTGTTTATATTTTTGGAAGAATCACAACTAGTGGGAGTCCCGGGCTCGGCCCCCTGATAAATGAACATTAGCACTTTTTAGAACTACTGTATCAACAAAAAGAGCTGCAGGGCCGCAATAATTGGTGAAAAAGCAAACACTCCGCAAAGAGAGGCCGGGTCTGCTCTGTGTCCGGCTGATTGATGAATAAGTTACTGACGTACAGCAGCTCACGGACTTTCCGGGTCGGGGCTCAGCACCCATTCCTCCCCCCTTTCCCAGCCCCTCTATCCCTTCCCCGGGGCTCTCCAGCAGCCCCCTGAAGCCAGGCTCCGGCTGTCCAAGCTTCCCCCAGCTCCGGACGCTGCTGGCAGCCCGCAGGGTCCTGCCCAGCCCGGGGGGACCCCGAACTCTCCCGCATCACTTTGAACTTTGGCGGACTCCTTTTTGTTCGAGTTTAAATAACATTTTTAAAAAAATCACGAAAAAACCAAAAAACCAAAAACGAGGCAGGACCCCGAGGAGCGCCCTAAACCCCTTTCCGTAGACCCAGGCCCCAGGGGTGTAAGTGCGGGAGAGAGGGCGAAAACCCGCTGCTATTTTTTCTGGCTGTCAGGGGAAATGGGGGTGTCCTGTTCTGTCCCCCGCCGGCTTCACTCTCTTTGCAGGTTGCTCTCTCTGTCCCCTGGGGACTGAGCCTGCTCTGGCCTCTCGCAGGCGAGGGTTGTCGTCCACACCCGCTCGTTGCTTCTCTCCTGGACTGCTGAATGTGATTAATGTTTGGTTTAGTGCGCTTTTGTATTTTTTTTTTTAATTTCTATTTTTTTCTTAAAAAAAAAAAAAAAAAACAAAAACACACACACACAAAAAAACCTTTTCTTGCTGAAACCAACCAAACAAAAAAACAAAAACACACACACACAAAAAAACCTTTTCTTACTGAAACCAACCAAACAAAGAGAAAAAAAATTCCCAACCCCGCAATTAGCTGCAGAGGGCACATCCTCTCTCCCTCGGAGCTTTCGACACCTCGGACTGTTTAGAGAGAGAGAGATGGTACCTTTTAAAAAAGTTTTCCTCTTAATCCCAGCCGGTTAAGATGTCCAGGGCCCCCTCCCGTTCTAATTCCCAGCTATCTCCCGAGGACTCTGTTTATACCTCGCCAGTAAACGCTGGGGTTTGAAACCTTGTCACTAATTGAGTGCTAACACTTCAGGTGCTATAGATTTGTTAAGAGCCAGTAGTCCAGAAATAGCCTATTAGGGTTTCCTTGCGAGAACCGGTGCCAATCTGCCGCTTCCCACCGTGGCGCCGGGAGCCGCCGGGACCCCGGCATCTCTGCGGGTCCCCGAGGGCTCGCCAGGGTCCTTCGGGCAGGAATTCTTCCCAAGCCGTTGGGAAAGGGTGCTGCGAACGGGCGAGCCCTGGCTGAATAAATGCTGCCAGGGATGGCCGTGCGTGTCGGGGTCCCACCGGGGCTCCAGGAGGGCGCTTGAGGGCTGCTGGGGACGGCTGGGGCCAGGGAAGGTTTTGCTTTCTCTCCTCTGGAATTCTGCAGAGGGGAAAAAAAAAAAAAAAACCTGCTTTGGAGCTGTCCAGGCACTTCACTTCGCCGCAGTTAAACCTCCTTTTCTTCCCAGATTTTTTTTTCCCTCCTCTTTATTTCCCCCATTTTTTAAAATTGTTTTTTATTCTCTTCTTTCCCCTCTCCTTTCAAGCTCTAACGAAGCTCGCCTTTTCCGGCCGTCAAAAAAAAAAAAAAAGAATTTGGACTTTGATGCGAGGGGCCGCTGCCAGCCCGGGGCTTCCTCCGGGACCAGCCCGGTACCGGCCAGGGGAGCCAGGTGGCCCTGCCACTGCCACCGCCACCGCTGCCGGCTCGCAGCTCACCTATTTTTGGGAAACAATCGCGCCCCTTCCCTCCGCGCAAACCGCAGGGACAGCGGCCGGGTGTCAGGGCACAGCACGGAGTGCAGCAGGCGGGTACAGAGCGTCCCCCGCACGGCAGGACAGGGGGTGCGGAGCCCCGGGAGCCCCCCGGTCAAACCTCTCCGGTGCTGCCTCGGTCCGGACAGCCCAGCCCCGCTCCCGCAGCCCGGGGCCGGCCCGGGCGCCTCTTTCCGCCTCTGTCGGTGACTCGGCTGCGGGGACTCGGGCAGAGGACTTGGAGAGCAAATGCCTCCGTGGAGTTTCCCCTCCTGCCCTGGGCTCCGTGCCTGGAATCTGACAATTCAGCTGCTTCTTGCACCTCGGGGTGCTGGAAGAGTTTTTCCCCCCGCGGCTGAAGCGAAAGCTGGGAGCTGGGCAGATAAATGAAAAGCTTTAATTCTACCCTGCCTGTAATTTTTTTTTTTTTTTCCTACTTGTAACCAAGTTGGGTTCGCTGGTGAGCAGAGGGCGATGGGGGAGTTCTCCGACCTTCCCGTCGCCCTGTCCCCTTCCCCG